TGGACGCTTGGCATAGAGCATGCTGGGTAGGAGTGCAGACTGTCCAGAGAAATTTATCATCTCTGAGCTGTGAGAGAGCCAATGATCAGAGCCTCAGTTTCCACATCCATAAATGGGAAGGCTAACAGCTCCCTATGGGTGAAATACATGAATAATGGGAAGCCCTTTGCACGTGCATGGGATATAGGAAGTCTGTAACACATCTCGACTATCCTATTGTTCTTTTCCTCATCTCGCTAGATATCCCTGATGCCACTCTCCCCCAGAGCTGCCACCTCTCTCCAGCCAGCCTGGCAGGCTGTGTCTCCCACTGGGGGTGTTCCTTCCCCCTCTCTCCGCCCAGCATGGTCCCTTCACGGTGGGTGCTTGGGTTTTAGCCTTTTCCAGAGCACTACATCTGGTCCTCCTGCTCCCAGCTCCTGTGCTCACACCACCTGTCATCCTTTGCCAGGGGGCACAGCCTCCCTGGGAGGGTTGCTGAAGCCCTAGGGTGTCGAGGCTGTAGAGGCCACCAGGCACCACGCTGAGCCCTCGGGAGGCTGCCGTGCTGCTTCCCCATCTGTTCTGGGCCCACACAGCTTTATCCCAAAGGCTGAAACTCAACCTGGGTCCAGAATTTATAAGCCATCCCTGGGCAAGTTGCTTTAGAGGCAAAGCAGTCTCTGAGAGTGTTTTATGGCCTGAATCCTGCTACTGTGGCAAGGCTCTGATTTTAAAAACTGCCAGGAAGACAACAACAGAGAGTTTTCACATGAAGTGGACGGGAAAGAAAGGAATGACAGAGGGAAGGTGTACTTGATACCCTCTCAAGCAGGAGCTATGCCAGAAATGCACCCCTGTTCTCTAACGACCCTCACCACCAGTGAGCCTGGCAGTGCTGGGACTCATCCACATTATCTCATAGATGAGGACCTGGGATCAGAAAGGCTGTGTGATGTGCCCAAGCTCCCCCAGTTTTAAGGAACAGAGTTTGGGCTCCATATGAGGGCTTGTCCCAAAGCCCTTCTCCTTGCGGAGAATTGACAATGGGCACTGGGCATGGTCAAGGCGGTGAATCTGGGTCTGGCAGGGGTTCAGCTCAAGAGCATGGGTGCCTGGCTGACCATGAGGGCATCCTCTCCAGCCTCTAGTTGGACCCAGGGTCCCAGACTGCTCCCTGGAGGCCTGTCTGAGTTACTGTAAAATCCAGAGAAGCGGTACTTCCTGCCGTGGTGGGTCCATGGGGTCCCAAGTCCTTTAGGTGAAATGTTAGCTAGTCATTTGTCCACTGCAGCCGCAAGTCAGCCCACTACACAAAAACACTTAACCCTGGCCACAAGACCTTATTTTTGCAAGGCAAGCATCCCCGGCCTCCACCCTCATACCTACCCATGACAACTAAACATATTTCCAGACGTTATCAAATGTCCCTGTGTGTGTGTGTGTGTGTGTGTGTGTGTGTGTGTGAAAATCAAACAAAGGAATTGAACATTTACCGAGCCACTTCTCTATGCATATACACTTCTGTTCACCAGCTAGGCACAAAGATAGTCAAGATATCTTTTTGCCTCTAGATCAGCGCTGTCCAAGATGGTAGCCACGAAGCCACATGTGGTTACTGAGCACCTGAAATGTGGCTAGTGTGACTGAGGAACTGAAATTTTAAATTTATGTTATGATTTGTTTTAATGAATTTAAATTTAAAATCTAGTACAAAGTATGTTTACTTATTAAATATAATGTTTACATTTTTAAGGTTATATTTCATTTTAACTGATTAAAATCTAGTATCTGAATTGAGATGTGCTCTAAGTGGAAAATGTATACCAGATTGCAAAGACTCAGTGCAAAAAAAAAAAAAGTAAAATACCTTTCATTAGTAATTTGAAAATACTGATTGCATGTTAAAATGATAATGTTTTATATGCACTGGGTTAAATAATATCTATTAAAATTAATTTCATCTGTTATTTTTTCTTTTTTTAATGTGACTCTAAAAACATATAAAATTATAGGGGCGCCTGAGTGGCTCAGTTGGTTAAGTGTCTGCATTTGCTCAGGTCATGATCTCAGGGTCCTGGAATCGAGCCCTGCATCGGGCTCCCTGCTCTGCGGGAAGCCCGCTTCTCCCTCTCCCACTCCCCCTGCTTGTGTTCCCTCTCTCGCCATGTCTCTCTCTGACAAATAAATAAAATCTTTAAAAAAAAATGTCAAATTATATACATGGTCCCAGTTCTATTTTTATTGAACAGTGCAGCTCTGGAGGATTTCCACAGGGGGAGCTATTGCCCCTCAGGGGACATGGCACACTGGAGATAGAGTTTGGTTGCCGTAACGGAGGGATGAAGTGCTACTGGCACCTAGTGGGTAGAAGCCAGAGGTGCTGCTAAACATCCTACCGTGCACAGGACAGCCCCCCACGACAGAGAATCACCCATCCCCAAATGTCCCTCTTGCTGAGGTTGAGGAACTCTGCCCCAGAGCATAGCCAGGAAGTCAGAGACCTGCAGAGCTCGTTGGAGTGAGCTGAGAGAACAGGTTAAGGCGATTACCATACTCAGTTCTCACGACTAATATGGATGGGGGTGCCATGGTCCCCACTTATCCAGAAAAGAAGGAAGCCCAGAGAAGAGAAATCACTGGCCCATGATCGCCAGGCCGGAAGGGGGCTCCGCTCCGCATCCCAGCATCTCCTTGCTACAAGATGAGGGTCTGCGGTTCCCCAAGCTGGTGCCAATCCAGAAAAAGGCAGCCCGAGCTTCGGGTCTAATATCCCCGTCACTCAGAGCCCGCAGTTATTATTTCCACCAGCCCTTCTTGCTACCAGGGGATGAGCAGGAACAAAAACACCCTCTGAAAGGGACATTCTGCTCCAAGAGAAACACTCGCAGGCACCTCACCCATCAAATGGGGCCGAGAAACAAATGGAACGCAATGAAATAAACCTGTTAGAGGAGGAACATTCAGACACCTTAGAGGCAAGAGGTAAGAACAAATGTGCCTGATATGGAATCGGCTCTGTTTAAAGAAAACATTATCAGACTGCTCAACTTGAAGAGATGCCAGAGAACAATGGCCCTGCAGAAATGGAGCTCCCACACGGGCTCTGAGGACTCATGGTGTCTCAGGAGAGGGGGTGTGGGCACAGTAGTGAGAGTCCCTTCCCCCTCGCTGTGAGTGACCAGGCAACTGCATGCAACTCCCCGCCTCCTTGGGGGTGAGGGTGAGGCTGGTGGGCCTATGATTGGGGACGGTAGGGGACTGGCATTTCCTGAAGGCCTACTACGTGCGGCTGTTGAGCAGGGCAGTCTCTAGGGTAGCCTAATAGTGATCTGTAATAGGACTCTGAATGTGACAATTAGATTTGCAGGTGAAAAAATGCTATGCAACTTGCTTTAGGTCATATAGGTAGGGAGTGGCTACGATGACATTCCTGGGGCGTTGGCAGTGACACCCTGAGCTATGGGGGTTGGCGGCAGGGAAAACTGGGCTGCAGTGAATGCTGTTGAGGCTCTGCCCACATCTCCTTTCCCAGGCTGGCACACCGAACGTCCAGCTGCTATGGGTGCTGGCTGCTAACGGCTCACAGATATCTCCTCACCAGCATAGGGGCCATAAGGCAAAGGCGAGGGACCTCTCCAGGCGCCTGTGCACTCCCATAGCAGCCCACAGCTAACGGCCAGCTGGTACCACGGCACAACTGCGAGCGCCTTGGCCTTAAGGTAAGAGCAACTCCCACCCGCCAGAGGCCCCTGTGGGCTCAGGCTGCGACAAGCCTCCACATCCTGCCCTAGCCTGCCTTCCTGCCTTTCCTTCCTCAGAGAATACCCCTCAATGAGTCATTTGCACAGGAATCCCTATCTCAGGCTCCGTGTGTACAGAGCCCAGCCTAAGACATTCTCTAGCAGTGATATTTCTGACTTTGGGGAAGGGGGTGGACAGAAGTGGACCGTGAGGTACTGGATGGCCAGACTCCTGTCATCCCTGCCAGCCACACCCCCTTTCCCACCGTGACAAAGTGGCCGGTCAGGGACTAGTAGAAAGGAGGCCACTGTCTGAATAACCACTCTGAGAGAGGTGACAGGTAATGATTTGAAATTATCAAAGACTTCCACTGACAAGAAAGGGCCCTGAAGTAGCATCTCTAGGTCAGTGGGGTCTCTTTCGTCTGTAGGGCCTGCTATGGGCATCAGCCTCTGACACAGGTGGGCTCTGCATCCCAGTCTTTGAAGAGTGGCAGATGTTTATGGGAAATGCAATCAAACTACAGCGTCCAGGAAAGGGGCTGGTATCTCCTTCACACAAGTACCTACTCTAGGCTGGGCACTTCCACACAAGCCCTTTCACACTCATTATCTTGTATGGTCTCGGAACACACCTCCAGAAGGCTCTGCATATGCAGATTCTAGAAGCAAATGGTGCCCCCTAAGAGGCAGCTGTTAGGATTCCTGCTTAACACATAGGAGAGGTGGGGACCATCACATTTCAAGGGCTAGTCCAGCACACAGGGGAGGCCTGGGATCATAGCCAGATCTACTCATGTCCTAAGCACAGATATAGTAGGCCGACTTCTTCCCCAACCTCAGACCACAGCTCAGTTGTCACTTCCACCCAGGGACACACGCTCTTAACTCCAGGTATGTGTGTGTGTGTCTTTTGAACACCACACACCTCTCCTTTGTAGCCCCCCTCATGGTTACAGTTGTACATTGATCAGTGTGGCTCTTTCTCTTCCCAGAAAGGCACAGGAACATGTCTTCCTTTCCTCATCATTGTATCCCTCCATGCCTAGAACAGTGCCTGGCACATAGTAGGTACTTAGTAAGCATCAGTACAATGGATGAGTGGATAGATGCATGGATGAAGGGAGGGATGGAGAGATGGGTAGGTGGGTGAATGGGTGGATGGGTGGGTGGTGTGGAGGGACTGCCAGTTCCTCTCTGGTGCACCTGGCCCGGAGGACGCCCTGAGCGTGAGCCACTCTCAACCCCTTCCCACCCGCCCAGGGCTCTGGTGGTCACCTGTGGTGAGGAGGCAGAGTGGAGTCCCCGGGGTCACCTGGGCGCTGCCCATTGGTGCTGACCACAAGGAAGCCAGTCCCCAGGCAGCATGCAGAAGAGAAGGAGAGAAAGAAACACACATGAAAACGTGTGGCACCGTGAACAAAACTACAGTTCTTGTGGCTCTGAAGAGCTCACGCTAAACAGCAAAAGAACATTGTGTTCTAACAAAACAAGGCCTGAAATAGATTTTCAAAAATGAAACGCGAATAAGAGTCAGCATTTATCAAGCACCCACAACATGCCAGGTACTCTGCCAGGTACCTCACTAACAATGTCTCTAAGACTGAGAGCAACCCGGAAAGGTCAATTTTATTATAAACGAACCCCCATCATCTTTCCACTCTGTGTTTTCTCTCCCAGTCTCTGCTTTCTTAGTAAATGGTGGCCCCACCCACGTAGCGATCTGGGAGTCTAGCAATCTGGAAGTCAGCCTTCGCCTCTCCTTTTTACTGACCTCCCACTTCTAATCATTCAGCATGCCTCAGTAATTCTTCTCCAGGAAAGCTCTCGAAGGCTCTCCCTTTCTCTCCAATCTCATTTCTACTTGGTTCAAGCCACCATCACGCTTCACTTGGGATTGCTTAAAATACCAGCCTCCTTGCTGGTCTTCCTGCCTCCGGTCTTGCCCCCCTTTCAATGTACCTTCCACCCTACAGCTGAAAGGCATCAGTAAGGGAAACCTCAGAGCCCCTCCCCCAGCTCGCAGACCCTCAGTGATGAGATCCTTGCCTGTCCCTCCACACTCTCTGCCCCAAGGGCAACAAAATCCTCTCCGTTATCAACAGCCCCCCACGTTCCTGTCTGTAGGCCTTACCCAGGCTCGTCACCTTGTGTAGAATACACTCCCTTCCTACCCCTTTACCCGACTGGCAACTGCTCAGCCTTCAGGAATCAGTTTGGAACTGCTTTCTTGGGAGTCTTTGGTGTCTCACCGTGTGTGGGGTAGATACCCTGCTCTGTCTTCCCATAACCCCCTGGTCCTCCTTTCTCACAGCGATAACCCTGCCCTGTTATTAGTGGCTGTCTTTTCCTCAACTCTGTAAGCTCCCTGAAGGTAGTCACCGCGTTTCATTTACTAAGCGCTCCTGTGACCTTGTCTTGTACCTGGCACGTAGTAGGGACTCTGTGGATATCTGTTGAATAAATGAATGAATGAGTGAAGAAATGAATCAGAGCACTGATATAACTTGCTCAACGTCTCAGAACTAGTAACTGGCAGAGGCAGTATTTAAACCCTGGTTTGCAAGACTAATGCTCCTGGCCCTTTGAAACCGACTACTCGTCTCTGTAAAGAGAATGATATAAAAGGCAGGAAGGTGTCTTATGCTTGGAGAAAGCCTGCATGTTCCTCTAGTGATTCATCAACAAAACTGTATAACGCCCTTATGCAAAATGGAGAGGTAGGGTGTTCCAGACCAACTGATAAACAGGAAGCACATAATTTCAACAAAAATTACACAAATAGCAAGCTTGAGCAATGTCGTGAAATACTATAAAATATAACTGCCAGTCGCAATGTCCACAATAGCCAAACTGTGGAAAGAGCCAAGATGTCCATCGACAGATGAATGGATAAAGAAGATGTGGTATATATATATACAATGGAATATTATGCAGCCAACAGAAGGAATGAAATCTTGCCATTTGCAACGACATGGATGGAACTGGAGGGTGTTATGCTGAGTGAAATAAGTCAATCAGAGAAAGACATGTATCATATGACCTCACTGATAGGAGGAATTCTTAATCTCAGGAAACAAACTGAGGGTTGTTGGAGTGGTGGGGGGTGGGAGGGAGGGGGTGGCTGGGTGACAGACATTGGGGAGGGTATGTGCTATGGTGAGTGCTGTGAATTGTGTAAGACTGTTGAATCACAGACCTGTACCTCTGAAACAAATAATATATTATATGTTAAAAAAAAAAAAAAGAAGATATCAGGAGGGGAAGAATGAAGGGGGAGAAATTGGAGAGAGAGACGAACCATGAGAGACTATGGACTCTGAGAAGCAAACTGAGGGTTCTAGAGGGGAGGGGGGTGGGGGGATGGGTTAGCCTGGTGATGGGTATTAAAGAGGGCACATATTGCATAGAGCACTGGGTGTTATACATAAACAATGAATCATGGAACACTACATCAAAAACTAATGATGTAATGTATGATGATTAACATAACATAATAAAAAAAATATATATAACTGCCAGTCAACTGTCATCGTAATATTCCTCCCTTAATGGCACGAGGAGCTTCACCATTTTCAAAGCACATGCTAAGTCAGAGGTCAGTAAACTGTGGCTCGTGGGTCAAATCCGGGTTCTCACTGTTTCCTGTGTGGCCACGTGAGCTAGGAATGGTTTTTACATTTTTAAATGGGCTGCTATTTTACTTATTTTAATTTTTATGTATTATTTTTTAATTTTTTATTTAAATTTGATTTTAGTTAACATAAAGAGTATTATTAGTTTCAGGGGTAGAATTTAGTGATTCATCAGTTGGGGGAAATAAAACCAAAAAGAAGAGTAATATTTTATGACACATGAAAATTATATAAAATTCATATTTCAGTGTCCATAAATAAAGTTTTATTGGAACATGGTCACGCTCATTTTATATTTCTGATCTATGGCTGCTTTCTGTGCTACCATGACAAAGTTGAGCAGGTGTGACAGAGACCACATGGCCTGCAAAACTGAAAATATTTACTATCTGGCCCTTTACAGAACAATTTGCCAACCCCTATTCTAAGTGGCTATTTTTATTAATTTTTCCCCACCTGTGGAGGTAGGCAGGACATGGCTCACATGTCAGAAAAAGAAACAGAAGGCTTGAGAGAGGACATGACTCCAGTGCTCCCACCTGGCCTGTTTCAGTGGCTTCCTACCTGTTCTCCCCCATGGTCTTGCCTTTTCTGTGCCCCAGAACCCCATCTCTGATTTGTCTTCTAAGGCGGTCTGCTTAAGCACTTCCAAGGGTTCCCATGGTCTCAGGACCATGTTCATATACGTGCTACAGGGCTACATACAGTCCTTGGTATCCTGGCCTTGCCTGCTACTTCAGCCCCATCTCTGATCACTCCTGGCCTCTGGTCATATTGGCATCCATCCCTTTGCTTTGACCCATTCAAGTTCAGTGGCATGCTTTCTTGCCTCCAAAAATCTGCACATGCTACTTCCTCAACCCAGAAGTACTCCCTGCCTTACTCTCTAGCCTTGTTCAATATGATAACTGTCACTCTTTCAAAACTTGTCTCAGTAACCATGTACCTGAGAAGGCACTCCCTAAACTGATTTATGTTTCCCTTCTCTGCTCCCATAGCATCCTGGATTTACCTTCATCACGTACTTAATCATGCCGTATTGATATAATTTATCTGTATGCTGTTCTCCCACTAGCTATTTGTAGAGTGCTTATTATAAGCTCAGCATTACATGAAGCACTTTATATGCACTGGCCCATTAAATTCTTACGTTAGCCCTATGAAATAAGTGGTGTTATTGTCACTGTTTTACAGATGGGGAAACCAAGACATAGAGCAGTTAAATGCCTTTTCCAGCCTAGAATCAAAGACTGTCCAAATCCAAAGACAAAGTTCTTAACCTCTCTGGGACAAGAGGCCACAATCAATAGTAAGTTGCACTCAATATATGTTTATTGAGAACTAAATGAATAAATGAAATTCTGGTTTAGTATTTACCTACTAGCTGTGTCACTTGGAAAATGACATTTCTGAGTTTCAATTTCTCTACCTATAAAATGGGAATAATAATAAGTATCTCATGAAGTTCTTTTAAGGAATAAATGAAAAACAGTTGAAACCTGGTTGACAGGCCCAGAGGATTCTCCCCACCCTACCAATCTAGGGCTGCAACTCTGCCGAGCAGGAGTGCTCAGCTATGAGGGGCAGAAACAGAGGTATAGATGGACAGGTGTTGGGATGGGAAGAGGTTTTCCCAGTGGGTGGAATAGCAGAAGATAAGTGATGGATCATGGGTCTCAGCAAGACACAAAGGGAAGTTGAAATAGGAAAGGGGCTCATACATTTTGTGTAGAGATGACTAGTGTTTCCTGGTGCCTGGCCTATCTCTCCTTCTTAGGCACACAGAAGAATCCAAGTCCCATCAACATCATGTAAGTAGAAGTGACACAAGTCATTTCTAAGTGAGGTATTCAAGATCCAGGTTACTAACCCCATACCTTCTCTTTCCCTGCTGTGGGGTCTTTTGAGGCCACATGTATTCTAGATGACATAACAACAAAGAAAATTTTCTGGTATTAAGCTACTGATATTTGGGTATTCATCTGTTATTGCAGCAAAGCCTTTCCTATCCTAACTAATCCAGCAGGAGAAAAGGTAGTAGTCCCTTGCCTTCTCTTCTATCACCTGGTTGCCCCATCATACAGCTTTTCTATTAGAGGATTCATGACTCCACTCTCTCCATATTTCCAGCCTATGTTCATATATATTTATATGAAAATTAATTAATGAAAATAGTAAGACCATGCAAAGAAGAAGGAGGTCAGAATGCTGAGTGCCTCAGACTTCCTTTCTGACTTTTATTCCCTTCTAAGGCAAAGAATGTTGAGTAGAGAGAGATGCTAATGGGCTAAATATGACACTGGAGCCGATAACCTTGAAGACAAACTAACTTCTTGGTTTATCAGCTTCAATCTACTATAGTAATGTAGAAGGCTGAGGGCTCTTTGTGGCACCAGGTCTGCTACAGATTCCAGAACTTAGCCTGGACACTACTGAAGAGAGACAGAAGACCCATCATACCCTAAAGATTCTACTATCAACTATTACTGGAAAAGAGGCAGGGGAAGGGTTTAACAGACTCTGACAGTGGCTCATAGAATTTCACCCAGTCTACATCACTGACAAGATTCAAAATGGTGCCCTGGGAATGCCATAAGCTTTGGAGTTAGAGCTACAATTCTGTGGATCCTTGAGGTCTTTATTCAACCCTTCTGGGCTTCTACTGCTTCATTTCTTAAGTAAGGGTAATAAACATGACCA